CGGAGGTTAGATTTCTTCATCCGGTTTGTGCCACGCGTTGCTGTGGCCCAGTCTGTATATATGTGTTTTGTGTGTGTGTGTGTATGTGTGTGTATATTTGTGTATCTGTGTATAAATGTGTTTGTGTGTGTGTGTATAGATATAGATATAGACATAGATATAGATAGAGATATATGTGTGTGCATATGTGTGTGTGTGGATGTATATATTTGTGTGTATATAAGTGCATATGTATATTGTGTATAATGTGTGTGCTTGCATATTTGTGTTTATATATGTGTATGTTGTGTGCATGTGTATATTTGTGTGTGCATGTCTATATGTATATATGTGTGTATGTAGATGTGTGTGTGTATATTTGTGTGTGCTTGGGTATATATATACACGTATGTGTATGTATGTATATGTGCATGTGTATATGTATATGAGTGTGTGCGTGTGCATATATATGGTGTATTTTTGGGGTTTTTTAAGTCCATTCTGCTGAGGGTTTTTTGTATTTTGGGGGGTGATGAACACTCGTTGGACTGTTAGGTGTATTGTGTCAAAATTTCGTGTCAATTCGTCCAGTGGTTTCCGAGATATGTTAATCCCACAAACGAACATTACACTTTTATTTATATAGATTACCCACCAAAAACCCCAAAGACAGTTGTGTTATTGAGATTTGCCTTCCAAGAGTGTTGGGTTTCATCCTTGTCTCTTCTGTCATCAAGTCTCCAGAGCTCAATGAGCTCCTCCCCCCACATTCCTATGCATGCTTTCCCAGAAAGGACTTTGGTTTTACCCTTCCTTTTTGCCACTATTTCTCCCCCCCCCCCCCATTTTAAGATGTAGCAATGGAATCTGTGAGGTAACTTTTGCTTCTGCCTTTTACTTCCTTCCAGGGAAGACGCATTTTGCCTCTCTCTCTAGGCAAAATGTAGTTGCATGGATATTTTGACTTTTTATTTTGACTTTTTTTATAAGATGAGATTTAGTGAGCGTGTTGGCTCCAAGACCTTTTCTATCTAGAATATTTTTCTTCAATAAATATTTTGAACCTAAAGTTCTGCCTCTGCAATCTTGTGCCATCCTGTTGAATGGAAGCTTATCCTGGCTTACCACACAAGTTTCTTCTGGTTATGAAGTTTACTTCTAGAACTTTGCTATATTTATGGTGGAATCACCCCAACTGAGGGTTATTTTTGACCCTGACAGCTCAGATCTGTTAGAGCATCCTCGAGATGGCAGCTGAGCAGAAACAACTGGGTCCAATGGGATTTGCTCTGATATCAAGGTACATGGAGATACCCATCTAAATAATGCACACAATGGATCTCTTTAAGACACCCTAAATCAGTGTTTCTCAACCTGGGGGTCAGGACCACTGTGGGGGTCACGAGGAGGTGTCAGAGGGGTCACCAAAGACCATCAGAAAACATAGTATTTTCTCTTTGTCATGGGTGTTCTGCGTGGGAAGTTTGGTCCAATTCTATCATTGATGGGGTTCAGAATGCTATTTCATTGTGGGTGAACTATGAATCCCAACAACTACAACCCCCAAATGGCAATGTCTATTTTCTCCAAACTCTACCAGTGTTCACATTTGGGCATATTGATTATCTGTGCCAAGTTTGATCCAGACCCATCACTGTTTGAGTCCACAGTGTTCTCTGGATGTAGGTAAACTACAACTCCAAAAACTCAAGGTCAGTGTCCCACAGACTCTCCCAGTATTTCTCTTGGCCTTGGAAATTCTGTGTGCCAAGTTTGATTCAATTCCATCATTGGTGGAGTTCAAAAGGCTCTTTGATTTTAGGTGAACTATAAATCCCAGCAACTCCAACATTCCCAAATGACAAAATCAATCCCCTCCAACCCCGCCAGTATTCAAATTTGGGCATATCGGGTATTTGTGCCAAATTTGGTCCAGTGAATGAAAATACATCCTGCATATCAGATATTTATATTACTATTCATAACAGTAGCAGAATTAAAGAAGTAGCAACGAAAATAACAATAACGTTAGGGTTGGGGCCTGTACTAAGGGGTCGTGGCATTAGGAAGGTTGAGAACCACTGCCCTAAATGTACCAGATTCTGTCTGATCCTGGAAAGTAAACACTTGCTTAGAACCTGCATGGGCCTACACCTACATATGCCAGGTGGTGTAGGCTATATTTCAGAGGAATGAAATGACAAAACCACCTCTACCTAAGAAAATCCTACACAATTCATGAAATTCCCATGAAATTCCCATTTTAAGATGTAGCAATGGAAGATGAGTGAAAGATGCATAATACTCATACTCATAGGAAAGCAAAACTCAAGTTGGGTTGTTGTAGGTTTTTCAGGCTATATGGCCATGTTCTAGAAGCATTCTCTCCTGACCTTTTGCCTGCATCTATGTGAGGTCTCACAACCTCTGAGGATGCTTGCCATAGATGCAGGTGAAACATCAGGAGAGAATGCTTCTAGAACATGGCCATATAGCCCAAAAAACCTACAACAACCCATGAAATTCCAGTCATGAAATCCTTTCACAATAAATTAAAACTCAAGTTACCAATAGTCTCCGATAAGGCTGAGAAAGGCGGTATACAAGTATAGTAAATAAATACTTGGGCAACATGTTTATGATGTAAACCACTTTGAGAAGTGTATCTTGTGCTTGTGATTACTGGGCAGAAATATATGAAGAGGAGAGGAAATACTGCAAGGCCACACACTTGTCTACTATGTGTGCAGTTAATGCAGTTTGACACCACCATGGCTCAATGATGTAGTTTAACAAAGTCTTTAGCCTTCTCTGCCAAAGAGTGCTGGTGCCACAAACTACAAGTCCCATGATTCCACAGCATTGAGACATGACAATCAAAATGCTGTCAAACCACATTAATTCTACAGTGTAGATGCACCCAACAACACATCAGGTTGGATACTTCCTTCCATTATTTATGTATGAGCAAGTCTGTTCATAAACAGAACTTAATTCATTTGTAAAGACACTAACAGCACTGCTGTTGTAACAGGATGATTGACACAAAAGGTCAGTTAATACACACCTGTCTGTTTTGGACTCTAAATGCAAAAAATAAGTTACATTTTGTTGTAGAAGTCCTTCATGGCCTGAATCATTGGGTTGCTGTTAGTTTTCCAGGCTGCATGGCCAGGGGTTGTGAGGTCTGTTGGAAACTAGGCAAGGGGGTTTATGTCTATAGAATGTCCAGGGTGGGAGAAAGAACGCTAGTCTGCCTGAGGCAAGTGTAAATGTTGCAGTTGGCCATCTTGATTAGCATTGAATAGCCTTGCAGCTTCAAAGGCTGACTGTTTCCTGCCTGGGGGAATCAGGTTGGGAGGTGTTAGCTGGCCTTCACTGTTTCTTGCCTAGAATTCCCCTGTTTTTCTGAGTGTTGCTGAGTGTTGTCTGGAATTCCTCTGTTTTTTCTGAGGGTTGTTCTTTATTTACTGTCCTGATTTTAGAACTTTTTTAAATACTGGTAGCCAGATTTTGTTCATTTTCATGGTTTCCAGACCACCTTTCATGGTTACCACTATTTTTAAAAAAACTCTAAAATCAGAATAGTAAATAAAGAACAACACTCATAAAAACAGGGGAATTCCAGACAAGAAACAATCAGGGCCAGCTAACACCTCCCAACATTCCCCTAGGAAGGAAGCAGACAGGTTTTGAAGCTGCAATGCCATTAAATGCTAATCAAGGTGGCCAATTGCAACATTCACACTTGCCTCGGGCAGACAAGAGTTCTTTCTCCCACCCCGAGCATTCCACAGATATATAAACCCCACTTGTCTAATTTCCAACAGACTTCTCAACCTCTGAGGATGCCTGCCATAGATGTGGGTGAAACTGTTGGGTTTCATCCCTGGACTGCACAAGTCTCCAGGCCTCAATGAGAAGCTAGACTAAATAGGATTAGAGTGAGGGATTCCTTTCTCCACATTCCTTTGTATGCTTATCCCAGAAGGGGCTCTGTTTTCACTCTTCTCTGCTTGCCACTATCTCCTTCCCCCTTTGAAGATCTAGGAATGTAATCTCTGTGAGGGATGAGGTAACTTCCTCTTTAAAGGCATTTTATTGGTCTGGATTGTTGGCCATTTTGGCCCTCTCTTTTCTGCCTTTGTCTTCCTTCAAGTGAGGACACATTTTGTCATTCTCCAGACAAAATGTAGCTGCATGGATACTTTTGATATTTTATCTCTTTTCCTTCCTTAGAAGATAGTTTAGTAAGCTAGTTAGCTCCAAGATCTTTTCTATCTAGAATTGATTTCTTTTTACTTCAATAAATATATTTTTGAACCTAAAGTTGTGACTCTGCAATCTTGATCCATCCTCTTGAATGAAAGTTAATCCTATCTCACCACACCTAAGTTTCTGCTGGTTGTGAACTGTGCTTCTGGCACCCTGCTATATATTTTTGTAGAATCACCCCAAGGGAGGGTTATTTTGAGCCTAACAGCTCTGATTCCCATCACCTCAGGAAGGAAGCAGCCAGGCTTTGAAGCTGCAATGCCATTTAATGTGAATCAAGGTGGCCAATGGTGAACTTATAAACCCCACTTGCCTCGTTTCCAACAGACTTGTCAACCTCTGATGATGCCTGCCATAGATGTGGGTGAAACATCAGGAGAGAATGCTTCTGGAACATGGCCATACAGCCTGGAAAACTCACATAGAATCATAGAATCATAGAGTTGGAAGAGACTTCATGGGCCAATCCAGTCCAACCCCATTCTGCCAAGAAGCAGGAATATTGCATTCAAATCACTCCTGACAGATGGCCATCCAGCCTGTTTAAAAGCTTCCAAATAAGGAGCCTCCACCACACTCCGGGGCAGAGAGTTCCACTGCTGAACGGCTCTCACAGTCAGAAAGTTCTTCCTCATATTCAGATGGGATCTCCTCTCATCAACCCAATAAGTTACATTTCTCCTTTGTATAGCCGAAACAGCATAACAATCCCATCTTCTCCAAAGAAATCCTGAGCCGCATCCAAGTGCTTTTGAAGAAAATAAAGTCATTTATTGTCAAAGCATCCAAACATACCCAAATAAACTATAAAGTTTAATAAATCTTTGTCAAGAAAAAAAGAAAAGAAAAAGAAACACAGAACTATTCAGACTCCATTTCACTGGCACAAAATTACACTTTGTATTAAAAGGAAATCCATATTTACAGATTTGATGACATTCTGCACCGAAGTCCATAATCTTTTTTAAAATGTGGAACATGCACTTTCCCCACTGGAAACATAAAATGAATTCAAGTCTTTATGGATTTTATTACTATTATTTTTGCAGAGAAAATAGGAAAAAAAAGGAAAAAGAAATGGTCATCAAGTAATGCACAAAAGCATTGCATCCTCCTTCAGTATTTTTTAAAATTTTGCTTTATATCTAAAATAAATTTTTGTACCCTTACATATAGTTATTATTACAGCTAAACCATAAGTGCTTAATAATTTAAGTAGAAACGTATGACAAATGCATCAATATGTTGCAATATATGACATTTTAAAAATGTACTTTTAAAAGTTATTTACTTTTTTTGGAAAGTGAAAATGCGTGCATTTGAAAACCAACCAAAAGGACAGAGGAAAAAATAAACCCACCCAACACCTTTAAATGTTTAATTTTTCTCAAGGTAAACATATGCACAGGCATAAAATTTTCAAAAGTGGTTTTGGGTGTTTTGTTTCATTTGTGGCTAGCCACAATGCCCAAGATACATTTAAAAGCTTTCAATACCCAGAGACAGAATGACTGTAATCCTAAATGCATCTGCAGCCTGAGGCTATATCCCTGTTTACCCTGATGTAAGTGCCATTCAGTCCAATGGGACTTTCCTCAAAGTAAACAAACTCAGGATTTCAGCATGAAGGTCAGGAGGAATTCCAGGGAGAAAAAGGCAGAATTCACTAGTGTTTACAGAACAGCAGCAGCCAAGAGCCAGGCAGAGTGCTTTGGCCTAGTGATCAGCTATTGGGATGTTGGGTTGCTGTGAGTTTTCCAGGCTGTATGGCCATGTTCCAGAAGCATTCTCTCCTGATGTTTTATCCACATCTATGGCAGGCATCCTCAGAGGTTGTGAGGTCTGTTGGAGACTAAGCAAGTGAGGTTTATATATCTGTGGAATGAACTCTTGTCTGCTTGAAGCAAGTGTGAATGTTACAATTGGCCATCTTGGGAATCTCAACAAAGGATTTCCCCAGGCAGGAAGCAGCCAGACTTTGAAGCTGCAAAGCTGTACAATGCTAATCAAGGTGGCCAATTGCAACATTCACACTTGCCTCAAGCAGACAAGAGTTCCTTCTCCCACCCTGGACATTCCACAGAATTAAAATAAATGAGATGAGAACCAGAGGTTTGCAAGGTGCAACAAAACATAACCCTTCCACACACAAAAATGGACAGTGCAAGTTGAGATAGTGGTATCAGACTAACATTTATAACTATCTTCCACAACCTCTGAGGATGCTTGCCATAGATGTGGGTGAAATGTCAGGAGACAATGCTTCTGGAACATGGCAATACAGCCTAGAAAACTCACACAACCAAGTGATTCCGGCCATGAAAGCCTTAGACAACATTGGAATGTTGTTTTTCTGTTGCGGGACTTTAACTTCTCCTCTCCTATTTGTCTTTCAAGGCGAAAAATCCCTCTGTTTTCTTCTCCCAGGTAGATGATTCCTTTAAAATATGAATAAATGAAAGGTACTTAATTCTCTCTGTGCCTAAGGTGTTTCTTGCTTTGACCCTTTGGTTTGCAACTTCATCTCTATTCTATTCTGTCAAATACAATGGGATTTGATTCCAGGACCCCCATGGATATCAACATCCTTGGATGCTCAAATCCCATTATATGAAATGGCATGATCAAATGGTGTCCCTTGTATAAAAGGGCAAAATCAACTTTGCTTTTTGGATTTTTAAATACATATATATTTTCAAGCTGTGGGTGGTTGAATCCATGCGTGGCTATATAGAGGACCAACTATATTCAACTGCTTCCATCTCCATGGAGGAAACACACCCATTGAAACACACCTAGATCTTCCTGGTTAATACTGAAGGCTTAGGGAGGAGGAGGAGGACACTGAAAGAATATATTTTTCATTTTAATTTGGGACTCTACCTCTCCACTTTCTCCATCTGCAACAAAATTCATGCCAAATGGGACATGCTATGTGTGTTCAATATATGCTGAAGAAGGGGAATAAGTGAAGTACAACTCATGATTTCAATTGCATCATGGAGGGGAAACACATAGATTATATTGAATGTCCCCTCCATTGCTATTGACTCTGCTCACTGCATCCCACCAGCCTTCAGAGAAGTAGTTCTCAACCTGCAGGTCCCCAGATGTTTTGACCTTTGACTCACAGAAATCCTAACAACTGGTAAACTGGCTGGGATTTCTGGGAGTTGTAGGCCAAACACCTGGGAACCCACAGGTTGAGAACCACTGCTTCAGAACATCAGTTTCCACATTTTTCATTTCAGTGGACTAATATCTGAAAGGGTTGTTGTAGGGTTTTTTGGACGATATGGCCATGTTCTAGAGGCATTCTCTCCTGATGTTTTGCCTGCATCTATGGCAAGCATCCTAACTACAGAGGAGGATGCTTACCATAGATGCAGGTGAAACATCAGGAGAGAATACCTCTAGAATAGTGGTTCTTAATCTGTGGGTCCCCAGATGTTTTGGCCTACAACTCCCAGAGATCCCAGCCAGTTTACCAACTCTTAGGATTTTTGGGAGTTGAAGGCCAAAACATCTGGGGACCCACAGGTTGAGAACCACTGCTCTAGAAAATGGCCATATAGCCCGAAAAAACCTACAACAACCCAGTGATTCCAGCCATGAAAGCCTTCAACAATACAATATCTCAGTGGCTTCAAAGTGAGAGTGAAGCTTGTAGAGGTAACAGTGTAACCATTTCATCTATAGTCAGATCTTACATGCATTTGCTAACAATTCCCAAAGTGTTTGGTGTCATATAGGATTACAGACAGACAGCTCTGTTTCTTAAGACCCAAAGTGTCTAAGAAGTCCCATTACGGAACGCCTTGTTAGATGACTCCAGGGCCAAAGCTTCTGAATGAAAGAGGTATTCTCACGTTGCAGTCCACTGGGCAGCCATTATCTCTGAAGACATCTCAGTATCTCCTATGACCATTGCATGCTTTCCTTCAACAAAAGAAGATTCTGAAATCTTGTTGTGGGTTTATCCATCTATGGCAGGCATGGGCAAACTTGAGCCCTCCCTCGAGGTATTTTGAACTTCAGCTCTCACAATTCCTAACAGCCTACTATTGGGATTCAACCCCACACTGCCCAAGTCTCAAGTCTTCAATGAGGAGAAGTTAGTTAGCATTAGGGTTTCCCTTTCTCCATGTCTCCTGTATGACAGTTGGGAGTGTATCTAATTTCTTCTTTCCTCTCATTCTGATTGGTGGTTTAAAATGGATACTTTTCTACTGCAAGCTTTTTTGAATCTGACTTCTATCTCCTTACACTTTAGTATGGAGAGTATGTGCTGTGTGCTTTGAGATCTCTCTCTGTTTGTGTGTCACGAGAGATGTAGTGATTGATGATTTTCCCTCTCTTTGAAACCTTAGAAGAGATGGGTGTTAGAGTAGCTCAGACCTAGTTCTTGATTATTAAGACATGCAGTTATCGTTTATTATTGTAAATAAATAAACAATAACTAATAACTGTTATTGTAAAAAAGGGCCCCCTGATAACACAGTGGGTTAAACCACTGAGCTGCTGAATTTGCTGACCAAAAGGTCAGTGGTTCGAATTGAAGAGCAGGGTGAGCTCCTGCTGTTAGCCCCAGCTTCTGCCAACCTAGCAGTTTAAAAACATGAAAATATGAGTAGATCAATTTATACCACTTCAGCGGGAAGGTAATGGCGCTCCATGCAGTCAAGTTGGCCACATGACCGTGGAGACGTCTACCCACCAGTTGAACATGACTGGACCTAATCTCAGGGGAAACCTTTACCTTTACTACTGTAAATAAAGATGTTGTGATTTTTTTAAAGACTGGATTCTGCATCTTGCCTGCCTAAGCTCTGAATTCTTTACAGTCACATCACACAGCACTTCACGCTCTGTTGCTAATGAGCTGATGCCCAACTTTTGTATCGTGTTTGTTTTTGGATGCTCTGCTATATATTTTAGAGTAGTTTCCCCTAGCACCTACTGGCTATTAGGAATTGTGAGAGTTGAAGTCCAAAACACCTGGAGGGAGGGCTGAACAGTTTGACTCTGCAGCAGTTCATTGGTAATTCTGGGGTTTTCTTGGGAACTCTCTGGAAGCCACTGAAGAACTGTGGTAGGTCGATGTGGGTCTCTGGTTGCTTCCTTTTGCATCTTGGGTCCTTGTGACTGTGGCGCACCATCTCGAGATGTAGGCATGAGGTACACATGACCTGCCAGATCTGCCGTGGGCCCAGAAGACAGTCTGACCCTAGTCCCACCTTTGAAGCAGGCCTACAGATGTGTGCATGGGGTTCCAGCTTTGGAGACTTCTGGGGAAGGAGCCACGAGGCACACATGGCCTGCCAGATCTGCAGGAGGCCTGGAAGTCAGTCTGACCCCAGTCCCACCTTTGAAGAGGGCTTACAGATGTATGAATGGGGTCTCCATGATGACCTGGTCCCAGCTTTGGAAACTTCTGGAGAAGGGGTCATGAGGCACACATGACCTGCCAGATCTGTACTGGGCCTGGAAGCCAATCTGACCCCAGTCCCACCTTCGAAGTGGGCCTACAGATGTGTGAATGGGGTCCTCTTGATGACCTGGTCCCAGCTTTGGAGACTTCTGGGGAAGGGGTCATGAGGCACACATGACCTGCCAGATCTGCAGTGGGCCTGGAAGCCATTCTGAACCCAGTCCCACCTTCGAAGAGGGCCTACAGATGTGCACATGGGATCCCCATGATGACCTGGTCCCAGCTTTGGAAACTTCTAGAGAAGGGATCTGCAGTGGGCCTGGAAGTCAGTCTGACCCCAGTCTCACCTTCAGATGTGCGCATGGGGTCCCCATGATGAGCAGGTCCCCGCTTTAGGGACTTCTGGGGAAGGAGCCATGAGGCACACATGACCTGCCAGATCTGCAGTGGTCCTGGAAGCCAGTCCGACCCTAGTCCCAACTTCAGATGTGCTCATGGGGTCCCCACTTCAAAGACTTCTGGGAAAGAGGCCATGAGGCACTCATGACCTGCCAGATCTGCAGCGGTCCTGGAAGCCAGTCCGACCCTAGTCCCAACTTCAGATGTTCTCATGGGGCCCCCACTTTAAAGACTTCTGGGGAAGAGGCCATGAGGCACACATGACCTGCCAGTTCTGCAGTGGTCCTGGAGGCCAGTCTGATGTGTGCATGGGGTCCCCATGATGAGCCGGTTCCCCCCTTTGGAGACTTCTGGGGAAGGGGCCCTTCTCCTTCTCCTCCTTCTCCTTTCTGGGCCCCTCAGTTGTGCGAGGTCATGTGCCGGGAGAGGTGGTGCCTCTCTCGGAAGGACTCGTTGCAGATGGGGCACTTGAGCTTCTCCTCGCGACGTCGCTTGACCAGGGGCTCCAGCGCGTACTCCTTCTTGTGGTGGGAGCGCATGTGGTAGACCAGGTCGGAGGTCATGCGGAAGGAGGCGTTGCACTTGGCGCACCAGTTCTGCGCCGGGAGGCACAGCGAGGTGAAGGAGGGCGGGAGCAGCGTCAGCGCCGAGGGCAGCTGGAGCTGGAGCGGGCCCGCCGCCGCCGCAGCCGCCGCAGCCAGAGCCGCCGTCGAGCTTTTGGGCCAGAAGGTGGTGGCGGCGGCGTAGAGGAAGGGGCTCTGCTTGGGAAGGCCTCCTCCTCCTCCGCCTACTCGGTCTCCTCCCGGAGCTGCTCCGCTGGTTATTTCCGACGTGGCGCCCTGAAGCTTGACTGCCAGCGGCTCCGGGGCGTAAAGTCGCGCCGCCCCTTCGGCGTGGGCCCCTCCGCTTTCCACCATCTTGGGGCCCAGCACCAGCTGCGCCGTCGAGGAAGAGGAGGAGGAAGAGGAGGCGAAGGAAGAGCGCGCCGGCTGCGAGAAGGCGCTCTTCCTCTCCTCGGAGGAAGGCTGCGAGGAAGGCGGCACCGTCGAGAAAGCGCTCCCGCCCGAGCGCGTGCCCAAAAGGTGCGGCGCTGACGGGCCTTGCTGTTGTTGTTGCTGCTGCTGCTGTTGTTGGCCCTTCTCTTCCTGCGCTCCACCCGGAGAGGTCCTCCCGGCCTCGTCTTCCTCCCCTCCCCCGCCTCCCTCTCTCCCCCGCGAGGCCTTCTTCACCTCCACGAAGGCGCTCCGCTTCGCCTCGCCGGTCTCGGGGCTGGGCGGCCCGAAGAGGCGGCTGCTCTCGTCCAGGCCGAAGTAGCTCCCCGCCGGGCGGAACTGCGGCTGCGGGGTGCACACCAGCTCCTCCTGCGGCGAAGACGGGACGGGCCTCTCCAGCCTCGGCCTCCCCAGCCTCTCCTCCGGAGGAGGGTATTTCCGCTTGGACGCCTTGCTCCCGGGGCTGCCGCTCACCACCTCCGCCACCGCCTCCGGGCTCCGCGAGGACGGGCTGCTGCTCCCCACGCCGCTCCGGAAGTTCTCCAGCTCGCGGGCCAAGTTGTGGAAGTCGGTGGAAGGCTTGGTGGGAGCGCTGTCCGGAGGCCCCGCGTGGAAGCGGTGCCGGGGGCCGGGCGGAGGGACCGATGGAGGCTTGCCTGCAGGGGGTTTCCCGGCTCCTCCGGGGCCCAAGGCGTCCTTGGGGCTGCCGGCCTTGCGGCGGGACTCCTCCTCCACCGCCGGGCTACCGCTCTCCGCGCCCTGGAGCCTCTTTGCGCAGCGGAACCGGAGGTGGGCCACGAAGGGGAACTCGAACTGGAAGCGCTGGCTGCACTCCAAGCAGGAGAAGGGCACCGAGCCTGGAGAGAGAGAAAGCAGGGTGCAACATGAGAGGAGGCGGAGGAGGAGGAAGTGGTGGTGGTGGAGGAGGAAGTGGTGGTGGTGGAGGAGGAAGTGGTGGTGGTGGTAGAGGAGGAAGTGGTGGTGGAGCAGGAGGAAGTGGTGGAGGAGGAGGAAGAGGAGGCGGAGGAGGAGGAGGAGGAAGTGGTGGTGGAGGTGGTGGTGGAGGAGGAGGTGGTGGTGGTGGTGGGTGGTGGTGGAGTAGGAGGAGGAGGAGGAGGAGGAGGAAGTGGTGGTGGTGGAGGAGGAGAAGGAGGAGAAGGAGGAAGTGGTGGTGGTGGTGGTGGTGGAGGAGGAGGAGGAGGAGGAGGTCTCAGCTGCCCAGAATTCTCCTCCCGCAGGACAGCAATGCATGGTGCCCAGAAAGATGGACCTAATTGGTGAATCTGGCACCAAGGTAGCCTATTTTGAGATTTTATTCAGCTGTGTGGAAGGGGCCTTGTGAAACACCCAGGCAACTTGAGCTTTGGAAATCACCCTTGGAAACCCACCAACCACTGGTCAGAGCTTGTGGGTCCCCCTGCCCGAAAGTAAACCACACATAATAAAATGTCTGTTTTTGTTTCAGCCTGAGGAACATCTTACTAGAAATGCGCAACTCTGTGATCAGCCTCCACTGGACCAATTTGGACTCTAGAACTGGACTGGAGGATCTGGAGCAGAGTTGTCAACCTTGTGATGTTTGGGCCTCCAACTCCCAGAAGCCCTAGCCCCACTTGTTCAATGGCCAGGAATTCAGGGAATTGGAGTAAAAAAAAAACACACCGGGGAAAGCCACAAGTTTGACACCACTGATCCAAAAATTCCAAGAGAAATGTTCCCTCTAGGAATCTTTAGATCCTCCAGTATACCTCTATGATCAGTTTCCAGCACGAGGTGACAATAAAGTCACATTGGTGGACCTAGAGAGAACATTTCAATCAAATGTGTGAGTCATCAAATCTGCAAAAGTGGAGGGCCAACTATACTCAGACAGTTAACCCTAGTACCTCTCAGCCAAAGGAGGAATGCAGATGGTTGAGCACAGGGATACACCTGAATACACAGGTAGGCTCTTTTTGTCCTATGATTTGGGGTTTTTTGGTCAGTTTTGGCCTGCCTCGCCAGCTACCACCAGCATGTTAGCAAAGCATAGACTATGATTTTGATCTTCAGATTAAAAATCATAAAATGCTGGTTAAAGAAGTCACTCTAGGACAGGCATGAGCAAACTTGTGCCCTCCGGGGCCAGCTGTTAGGAATTGTGGGAGTTGAAGTCCAAAACACCTGGAGGGCCCAAGTTTGCTCATGCTTGGTCTGCAAGCTTCTTCTGGTGAGTGTGCAGTCAGCCCTCCACATTTGCTGGGTTTACAGGCACACATCCCCCATGAAAAATTGTGAAGAAAGAAATTCCTCTTTTTTAGTCCAAGAGAAAACCTCTTTATGAATGGTTTGGCATCAGCACAATCCTATGGTCAACATCATCTGGAAGCTAAACGTAAAATTACACAGGTGAACAAAGAAATTCCAGGGGAGGTGTTCAACCTAGAAATCTCTAAGTCCTCAAGCATGTTCAACCTAGACATCTCTAACTGCCTTGGTTAGACACACCTGGAATATTGTGTCCAATTCTGGGCACCACAATTCAAGAGAGATATTGACAAGCTGGAATGTGTCCAGAAGAGGGCGACTAAAATGATCAAGGGTCTGGAGAACAAGCCCTATGAGGAGCGGCTTAAGGAGCTGGGCATGTTTAGCCTGAAGAAGAGAAGGCTGAGAGGGAATATGATAGCCATGTATAAATATGTGAGAGGAAGCCACAGGGAGGAGGGAGCAAGCTTGTTTTCTGCTTCCCTGGAGATTAGGACGGCGGAACAATGGCTTCAAACTACAAGAGGGGAGATTCCTTCTGAACATGAAGAACTTCCTGACTGTGAGAGCCGTACAGCAGTGGAACTCTCTGCCCTGGAGTGTGGTGGAGGCTCCTTCTTTGGAAGCTTTTAAACAGGGGCTGGATGGCCATCTGTCGGGGTGATTTGAATGCAATATTCCTGGTTCTTGGCAGGGGGTTGGACTGGATGTCCCATGAGGTCTCTTCCAACTCTTTGATTCTATGATTCTATGACTGGAGGAAGCTGACCACAGAGTAAATCAAATCTTGTTGAGTTTCATCCCTGACTGCACAAGTCTCCAGCTCTCAATGAGGAGCCTTGGGGGGCCGCCCCGGTGCCTGTTTTCCCCGCCCCACTTACCGTTCATCTTGCTTTGGGTCCTGGCGGGTCCCAGCAGGAGCAGCTCGCTCAGCTCCTTCCCGTACCAGACCAGGAGCTCCTCGTCCTTGGCGACCCTGCGGAGGGAGCGGTAGAAGAGCTGCCCGTTCTTGATGTAGGCCTCCAGGTTCTGCTCCTCCTTGTCCCGCGCGGATTGGACCAGGCGCAGCCACATCAGGCCTTCCGAGGAGCCGTTGGCCGCAGAGGTGTCCACCTGCACAAAGGCACACGGAAAGGGCAGGGAGAGAGAGGAAAGAAAGAAAGAGAGGCGCCTTAACAAGAGAGGCCAAGCTATTCAAAGCAGAGAATATTTGAGGACAGGGACATCCGGAGGGATACCAAGGTGCTTGTTTATAAAGCCACTAGCCGTCCCCTGCCATGCGTTGCTGTGGCCCACGTGGGGGTTCTGTGTGGGAGGTTTGGCCCAATTCTATCATTGGTGGGGTTCAGCATGCTCTTTGACTGTAGGTGAACTATAAATCCCAGCAACTACAACTCCCAAATTTCAAGATTCTATTTCCCCCAAACTCCACCAATGTTGACATTTGGGCATACTAAGTATTCTTGTAGAGTTTGCTCTGTGATTGTAGATGAACTATAAATCCCAGCAACTACAACTCCCAAATGTCGAGATTTCCAGATAGAGAGATAGAGAGAGAAGTAGATAGATGATAGATAGATAGATAGATAGATAGATAGATAGATAGATAGATAGATAGATAGATAGATAGATAGATAGATAGATAGAGAAGTAGATAGAGAAGTAGATAGATAGAGAAGTAGATGTGTGTGTGTTATTACACACACACACACACACACACACACCCCGTATCTGCTTCCCTATCTACCTACCTACCTACCTACCTACCTACCTACCTACCTACCTATCTATCTATCTATCTATCTATCTATCTATCTATCTATCTATCTATCTATCTATCTATACGGATATCTATCTATCTATATCTTCTTATGTAAATAAAAATGTAATGTTCGTTTGTGGGATTAACAGAACACAAAAACCACTAAACGACCTGACACCAAATTTGGACACAAGACACCTAACAGCCCAATGTATGTCCTTCACTCAAAAATTTTTGATTTTGTCATTTGGGAGTTGTAGTTTCTGGGATTTATAATCAAAGAGCATTCTGAACTCCACCAATGATAGAATTGAACTAACTTGGCACACAGTTCTCCCATGACCAACAGAAAATACTGGAAGGGTTTGGTGGGTAGTGTCCTTTGGTTTTGGAGTTGTAGTTCACCTACATCCAGAGATCACTGTGGACTCAAACAATGATGGATCTGGACCAAACTTGGCACGAATACTCAATATGCCCAAATGTGAACACTGGCGGAGTTTGGGGAAAATAGAATCTTGACATTTGGGAGTTGTAGTTTCTGGGATTTATAGTTCACCTACAATCACAGAGCAGTCTGAACCCCACCAACGATAGAACTGGGCCAAACCTCCCACACAGAATCCCCATGTGGGCCACAGCAAGGCGTGGCAGGATGGCTTGTGTGTGTGTGTATGTGTTTTGTGTGTGTATATATTTTTGTATATGTGTGATGTATATATATATGGTTTTACGCAAAAATTATATATGGGTTTTTTTGCTTTTTAAAGTCTCTTCTGCTGTGTTTTGCAGTGTTTTTATGAATGATGGTCACCCGTTGGCCTAAGAGGTGCCTTGTGTCCAAATTTGGTGTCAATTCGTCCAGTGGTTTTTGAGTTCTGTTAATTCCACAAACGAACATTACACACACCCACACACGCATCTCCGTGTGTGTGTGTGTGTGTGTGTGTGTGTATGGAGATATATAATAAAAATATGTATGTATTTATGTATGTGTGGTTATATTTATATATGGAAAGCAGTTTGGGGACACTGACAGATGTAGATGGGAGTTGTAGTTTACCCACATCCTTATGCATGTTCTAATGAGACCATTCATAAAATCCAAAAATCTACAAAATAATCCCGGGTACCGCACTGTATCTAAACCAGTTGGGGAGATATATCTATTATCTATATTATCTATATCTATTATCTATATCTATAACCTTGAAGGAGCTGGGGGTGGTGACGGCCGACAGGGAGCTCTGGCGTGGGCTGGTTCATGAGGTCAGGAAGAGTCGAGAGTCGGAAGCGACTGAAGGAATGAACAACAACATCTATGTTGTTGTTCATTCGTTCATTCGTTCAGTCGTCTCCAACTCTTCTTCGTGACCTCATGGACCAGCCCACGCCAGAGCTCCCTGTCGGCCGTCACCACCCCCAGCTCCTTCAAGGTCAGTCCAGTCACTTCAAGGATGCCATCCATCCATCTTGCCCTTGGTCGGCCCCTCTTCCTTTTGCCTTCTACTTTCCCCACCATCTATATCTATATCTATTACCTATATCTATATCTAAGCAAGTCGCTTCACACCACGACACAAAAAATAAATCTGTATTTATATCTATATATGTGTGTGTCTGTGTGTCCCGAAAAACGAGGGGGGAAGCACCGGGTAACCTGAGGAATTTTATATATAATGGGGAACCTGACGTACATACCCGAGGAACCGATAGAGATATAGAGATGTAAAACCCGAAAAATTTGCGGCGGGGGGTGTCCCAGCAACCCAGTACGATTTTTACCTACATCTTATCTATATTTATATGGAGCCCCCGGTGACGCAGTGGGTTAAACCGCTGAGCTGCTAAACCTGTTCGCAGGTTCGGAGCAGAGTGAGCTCCCGCTGTCAGGCCCAGCTTCTGCCAACCTAGCAGTTCGAAAACATGCAAATGTGAATAGATCAATAAGTACCATTCTGACGGGAAAGTAAGGGTGCTCCATGCAGTCCTGCCGGCCACATGACCTTGAAGGTGTTTACGGACAACGCCGGCTCTTCGACTTAGAAATGGAGATGAGCACCCACCCCCAGAGTCGGACACGACTGGACTGTATGTCAGGGGAAAACCTTTACCTTTACTATCTATATTTATATATAAAATAGTATATGGGTTGCTGCCTTTAAATCCCAGTTCCCCGGGATGGTGGAGGTTGAGACTCGAGCAGAGGAAGCCACGGAGAAGGGAGCCACCCCAGGCAGGCCCCCGCCATCTCTTACCCGGAAGATATAGGGCACGGTCCTCTTGTCGGTGGACTTGAGGGCGATGAAGGCGATGCTGTCGTAGAGGGAGGTGTGGCTGAGGACGCAGGGCCCGAAGATGGCGTTCTCGGGGATGTCGCAGGTGGTGTAGACGCTGGTGAAGATGTCGGTCAGGCACTGCTGGACCGCCTTGGCCTCGCCCTCCCACAGGCCCCGCGCCACGCCGGCCTCCTCCATCCCTGCCTGCCCACAAGGAGAAGGAAAGGAGACAGAGAGAAGGAGAGAAGGAGAGAGAGAAAGAGAGAGATCAACACGGGTTGGCTCCAGAAGCGGGCCTTCAACCCTTCTGCCTGGATTCAGACGTGTCTAATGACTCCTGTTCTTTTTTTGTGTCAGGAGCGACTTGAGGACACTTCAAGTCGTTTCTGGTGTGAGAGAATTGGCCATCTGCAGGGATGTTTAATGTTTTTACCATCCTTGTGGGAGGCTTCTCTCATGTCCTCGCAGGGGGAGCCGGAGCTGACAGAGGGAGCTCATCCACGCTCTCCTCAAGTCGCTTCTGGTGCGAGAGAATTGGCCGTCTGCAAGGACGTTGCCCAAGGGAAGCCCAAATGTTTAATGTTTTTACCACCCTTGTGAGAGGCTTCTCTCATGTCCTCGCAGGGGGAGCTGGAGCTGACACAGGGAGCTCATCCACACTCTCCCCAAATCGCTTGATTCCCAGAGGAAGCCCAGATGTTTTGATGTTTTACCATCCTTATGGGGAGGCTTCTCTCATGTCCCTGCATGGGTAGCTGGAGCTGACAGAGGGAGCTCATCCACGCTCTCCCCAAGTCGCTTCTGGTGTGAGAGAATTGGCCGTCTGCAAGGACGTTACCCAGGGGAAGCCCGGATGTTTTGATGTTTCTACCATCCTTGTGGGAGGCTTCTCTCATGTCCCCGCAGGTGGAGCTGGAGCTGACAGAGGGAGCTCATCCACGCTCTCTCCAAGTCGCTTCTGGTGTGAGAGAATTGGCCATCAGCAAGGACGTTGCCCAGGGGAAGCCCAAATGTTTTGATGCTTCTACCATCCTTGTGGGAGGCTTCTCTCATGTCCCCACATGGGGAGCTGGAGCTGACAGAGGGAGCTCATCTTCGCTCTCCCCAAGTCGCTTCTGGTGTGAGAGAATTGGCCTTCTACAAGGACGATGCCCCCATCTACAAGGACGATGCACAGGGGTGGCCAGGATATTTTGATGTTTTACCATCCTTGTGGGGAGGCTTCTCTCATGTCCCTGCATGGGAAGCTGGAGCTGACCGAGGGAGCTCAGCCACGCTTTCCGAGACCTGTCGGTCTTCTGTCCTGCCGGACACCTCCAAGTTCATAATGAACTAGGACATTGGGTTGCTGTGAGGTTTCCCGGGCTGTATGGCCATGTTCCAGAAGCATTCTCTCCTGACGTTTCTCCTCCATCGATGGCAGACACCCTCAGAGGTTGAGGGGTCTCTTGGAAACTATATTTATTTATTTACTGTATTTAGATACAGAAGAGTCAAAATGTTGGATAATAAGGAGGGATTAAAGAAAAACCTATTAGATAGCGATATGATTTTACAAATTAAGCACCAAAATAATAACGTTTTACAACAAATCGACAGAAAAAGCAGTTCAATACTTGGTAATGTTATGTAGTAATTACTGTATTTAGGAATTTAGCACCAAAAACATTGCAATGTATTGAAACAGCTGTGGATCAGGACAGGAGACCTCACAACCTCTGAGGATGCTTGCCATAGATGCAGGCGAAACGTCAGAAGAGAATGCCTCTAGAACATGGCCATAGAGCCCGAAAAAACCTACAACCCAGGAGGCAGATTGCAAGTTGGATAATACAGAAGGTTAGGTTGGATGGGTGAGACTAACATTCTAAATGGCAACAATTCAATGCCAACATACATAATATGCCAAATAAATCATAATAATTAATTACTATATATAATTATGAACTTAAAATCAAATTTGAATAATTACACATAAGACATACATAAAATGTAAACATTCAGACAAACGTTCAGAAACTTGGCAGATGGGGTTTGTTTATCTGTGAAATGTTCGAGGCAAGTGTGAATGTTGCATGTTCTCTCACCCTGGAAATTCCACAGATATATAAACCCCAATTTCCTAGTTTTCAATAACCTCACAACCTCTGAGGATGCCTGCCATAGATGCAGGCGAAACGTCAGGAGAGAATGCATATGGAACATGGCCATACAGCCCGGAAAATTCACAGCAATCCAATGATTCCGGCCATGAAAGCCTCCGACAATTAGTAGAGTGTTCAAAATGGTTTAAGGTCTGGAAGCCAAACCCTATGAGGAGCGACTTCAGAATTGGGAATGTTTAGATGGGGGAAAAAAGAGGTCTGAAAGGATCTCTGTCCTCTTGTCCTCTTGAGGAATGGGGCAAGCTTACTTTCTACTGATCCAGAGCAATGGGTCGAAAAGACATTCCACCTAAACATTAGGAAGAACTAATGTTTCACCTCACAACCTCTACCTCTGAGGGTGCTTGCCAAAGATGCAGGCGAAATGTCAGGAGAGAATGCTTCCAGAACATGGCCATATAGCTCGAAAAAACTACAACAACCCATTAGGAAGAACTTCCTGACAATAAGGGCTGCTTGACAACGGAAAAGGCTGGAGTCTCCTTCTGTAAACAGAGTTATATTGATTGTATTGTTTATTTTGTTTATTGCTTGTTGTTTTTGATGTGTTGTGTCTCATGAACGAATGAACAACACCATCTACTCCGGAAAAGCCAAAGAGAGGCCCCTTCCACACACCTGAATAAAATCCCACATTATCTGCTTTGAATTGGGATATATGGCAGTGTAGACGCTGATATTCCAGTTCAAAGCAGATATTTCGTGTTATTCTGCCTTGATATTTTGGGTAGAAAGGCTCAGGGATTTCAAGGCGAATCTACCCCCTTAATGAAATGTTTCAAGGGATCCTGTCGGGGGGGGGGGGGTCTCAAAACGAGGGAAAGAAGGGAATTTTAGGAAGGAAGACAAAGGTGGGAGATGGTGTTTGGAGAAGGAAAGGAAGGGAGAAAAGGAGGGCAAACGTGGGCGGAGGAGGAGCCCAGGATGGTAGGAAAGAGAGAGAGGAAGAGGAAAGGGAGAAGAGGAAAGGAGGTCATGTTTGGGTGAGCAGAAAGAGAAAGAGAAAAAGGAGAGAAAGAGAAAGGACAGCAAGAAAGGAGAGGAAGAGAAAGAAAAAGGAGTGAAAGAGAAAGAAGAGAAAGAGAAAGGAGAGAAAGAGGAAGGAGAGAAAGAGAAAGAAGAGAAAGAGAGAGGAGAAGAAGAGAAAGAGAGAAGAGCAAGAGAAAGGAGAGAGAAAGGAGAGGAAGAGAAAGGAGAGGAAGGGAAAGGAGAGGAAGAGAAAGAGAAAGAAAAAGGAGAGGAAGAGAAAGAAGAGAAAGAGAGAGAGAGAAAAGAGAAAGGAGAGAGAGAAAGAAGAGAGAGAAACGAGAGAGAGAGAGAGAGAAAGAAGAGAAAGAAAAAGGAGAGAGGGAGAAAGGAGAGAGAGAGAAGTGAAAGAGAAAAGAGAAAGAGAGAGGAGAGAGAGAGAGAAAAGAAAGAGAAAGGAGAGAGAGAGAAAGGAGAGAGAAAGAAGAGAAAGAGAAAGGAGAGAGAGAGCGAGAGAGGAGAGAAAGAGAGAATCCATCTGTCTCTCCATTCCGATCAGCCTTTTTCCCATAGAGAGAAACTCTTGCAATCACGTTCAGGTCTCAAGGAACCCATGAATACAACATGATATCTAAAAATCCAAAAATAAATCGAGGGTTTTAAATAGATGGCCATCTCTGGCAGAGTCCCCAGCGAGTTCTCAACCAACCCTCGGAAACCCCGGCTTGGAAATCCCGATGTTTGGGCTCCTTTACTGTCCTGAAAGCCTTTCAATCCTAACCCGAGTGTTTTCGAACACGTGTATTGTTACAACTCGTTTTGCCTTCCCATCCGGAAAGGGGAGAGGATAGCTCCGGTTCTCGCAGAAGACGCATCTAATATTATTGTTGTTGTTATTGTCCCGCTTTTATCTCTTGACTGAGACGCAAAGCGGCTGGCAGCATGAAAAAAAACCCAGTTCAGTTCAAAACTCCCTCCAGATGTTTTGGACTTCAACTTCCACCATTCCTAACAGCCTCAGGCTCCTTCCTTTCCCCCCTCAGCCGCTTAAGGGGTGGGTTAAATGGGCATTTATGAAGCACCGCAATATTCCATGGCAAAGCACGTGTTTTACAAACAGACGCTTTCCAAATGTTTTTGACTTCAACTCCCATCATTCCTAACAGCCTCGCTGAGGAGGAAAAAAGGAAGGAGCCTGAGGCTGTTAGGAATGGTGGGAGTTGAAGTCAAAAACACTTGGAGGGCCGAACTTTGCCTTACACCATTGACCTATCACTATTCCAATTGGGTTGTTGAAGGTTTTTTCGGGCTATATGGCCATGCTCTAGAGGCATTCTCTCCTGACGTTTCGCCTGCATCTATGGCAAGCATCCTCAGAGGTTGGGAGGCCCGCAAATGAGTTTATATATATTGTCGAAGGCTTTCATGGCCGGAATCACTGGGTTGTTGTAGGTTTTTTCGGGCTATATGGCCATGTTTTAGAAGCATTCTCTCCTGACGTTTCGCCTGCATCTATGGCAAGCATCCTTAGAGGTTGTGAGGTCTCATCTGGCCTGCAGCAACTCTCCAAAGCCTGGAGTTGGCAGTGATAGTCTTCCACATTTTCACTGGGAGCTTTGCTCTGGGAATAACCGGGAAATAAATAATAATAATAATAATAATAATAATGGCCATATAGCCCGAAAAAAACCACAAGAACCTAGTGATTCCAGCCATGAAAGCCTTCGACAATACAATAATAATAATAATAATAATAATAATAATAATAATAATAATAATACTTTATTTATACCCCGCCACCATCTCCCCAAGGGACTCGGAGCGGCTTACATGAGGCCAAGCCCAACAACACATCAAAAACAACAAGCAATAATAAAATCACAAAATAAACAATACAATTAATATAACTCATAAGTAGACAATAACACACAAGAATGTAAAAACCTATGGCTGGGCCAAATGGAATAGTTAAAGCTTTGAAAATAAATGCTGGACATGAACAGAGGGTGTATCTATTTGGAGGTTTTAAATCAAAAGTAAAGAGCAACCCAAAGGGTCATTAAAGGTGCCACA